TATACAAGTTTAGTGAGTATAAAGTGTCTCAAAAGGCTCTGTATATTTTTTATAATAAAATTACAGTTTAAATATGATTTAGGCCTATTTTCTTATTTATTGAACAACTCAGTTATCGTTATAGCTCACCAAAAACCAAGGAGTTCCAGCGCTCCATTCCTACTATAAACACTTGTTTGGAGTGTTTGTCCCAGCTTATATTCTCAGTATTAATCAGATACTGAAGGAAAACCAGACTAGTGAAGCAGGTAATCGCTTTAGGCAGCGAAATCAATGGGACCTTTAATTGCTGCGTGGAAGAAGCGACGGAAAACATTGCTCTCACACTCATGCACAGGCTGACACATGCACGGCGACAGGCAGGCAGCAGCGCTGATGTGAGCGGAGTCTCCGGGGAGTGGCGTGGAGAATCCTCTTGGCTGGGAATTTCCAGGGTTTAGCACACAGACACAGTTTCTGTCAAAGGGCCTTTTACATGGATGAGCCCCGGCATCACATTCGCTCACTGTGAAATAGAGGGATTTGAATAATCTTATTACACCCTATTACAATAACGCTAATATGATCCAGTGCCTTGCAAAGCGGACTGGAATGAGGGGAATTCAACAATGTGGCCACCCCACTCTGTACCACCGCCAAGATACTGGAATTATATCAGCATATTTTCCACTCATGGAAATTTGAGTCGGGCAGTAATCAGTTTTGAACTTTTTGAGGTGACTAATCGTCATTTCAACCTTGATAAAAGAAATAAAGGTTGTCAGGAATGATTTGCCTGCATTTACTTTGAGTACATTACAAATCCACAGGTTTGATATTAATATAACGATCAAGAAAGGTGGAATGAAAAAACCAAGAGTTAGAGAAACTAATTTCTAGGATTTTCATTGATTATGATCTTAGTTGGAAATTACATACATTATAGAAAAAGCAATAGGTCAAATCCATAGCTGTGTTATATAAAGTATTTTTATTACCAAAATTATTCAGCATTACCAACTTTGCACAAAAAATGATCATGTAATACTTGACCCATCGTGTGGAGATTTGGGGATCAAATTGCAAAACCTAAATAGTCCTTATTCATATTGCAAAAAGGGTGCTGAACATTTTTAACAATATAAGACTTAGAGATCCTTCTAACCCACTTTTTCTTAAGTTAGAAATTATAAAAATTTCATGAAATAGTAGAACTTTTGTATAAAGCACATGAGAAAAGGTTGCTAGTGAAAATCCAAGAAAGGTTTGAAATAAAAGTCACTATAACCTGAAAAAAACAGACATAAATATCTGATTATATATATATGATTATTCACATCCGTAATTTTGGTAATGATTATTTACATATGATTATATATATATATATATATATATATATATATATATATATATATATATATATATATATATATATATATATATATATATATATATATATATATATATATATATATATATAGTCATATGTAAATAATCATTACCAAAATTACGGACCATCACAGGCATTGACTTAATCATTAGACTTAAAAATGATGGTGACATTCAAAAAAAACATAAAGACTACAATGTTAGAAATGTAGGAAAGTTATAGTTCATGGACTTAATGAAGGCATTAGGTGTTTAGATTAAAATCTATAAGATATAATATCAGTAAATGTGGATAACTGAGAAAAGATGGACGTAAATACTGTTAGAGAGCTGATGCTGCATTGCTGTAAAAAGGATTAAAGCGAAGATATGGGATTGTTCTTTTTTTCTGCTCCTTTTCATTAAATATTTTTATATTATTGTTTATGTATGAATTTTAATTTTTTTAAATGACATAAAAATAATTTATTTAAGGCTATGGCTAATGATTATTTAGCAAAGTGATTAATCTGATCATTATTTTTTGATTTATTGATCAATAGTTGAATGGCTTTTTAAAGAAGACTTTTTACTAAATTAAACTAGGTGAAAGTATACTTTTCCACTATAAGAGTTCTGCATAGAGGATATTGATAGACAACAAAGATTTTTTTTTTTTTATCTTAAAAGCAAAATGTTTATATCACCACTTTGGTATAATAACAGCTCTAAGTGGCTTGCATTGTCAGCTAAAGGCATGTTTTAGAGTCTGTATGCTCCAGTTAACGATTAATTAATTATTAAATTAGTTGACAATTATTTCAATTATCGATTTATCATGATTAATCTGATTAATTGTTTTAGCCTAAATTGAATAAATGAAAGTTTTATTAAAATACAACATAAATATGTGTAAAAACTATATAAAGTTAGTTCAATTTACTAGTAACTAGTTGAGTTAGTTGTAAAGTTCTGATCCTACACTAAAAATAAAATCAATTAATTTGAGTAAGAAAAAATAATCTAAAATATATAGTTAAGCTAAATTACTGGTTGTACTAATATAAGGGTGACTGCTTTAATCTCCTTTAACAATCTCCTGCAAAAAAAAGAAGACAGAAATCAGGTTTCTTGTTTTGTTTTAAAAGCTTGAAGCTTTCAAAAAGAGTGGTATCCAAACTTTATGTTTGTTGTAAAGTAGTGTAAAGTAATAAAAGGTCAAAAAAGTTTGACTGAATATTGCAAATAATAAATTATGTTTGCATTTGAATTAAACAAGTGAAGCAATTTCTTTGATTGCTTTCATAGGGATTTAGTTCTTGTTGATCCAACTTATAAATAGTTATGCAGGTTTGCCTGTTTAAAAAACTAACATAAAATGACCTAAAACTTTTTTCAGGTTTAGTATCTTTGTCTAAAGTTTTCTTTGTTTGTATGGAAGCAAAAAAAACAGGATGAGGATATGACTCACTCTTGCTTTTTTTTAGCCCAGTTTAACTATCTTACGCCCCCATATCGGCTTTTCTTTTAAAGACTCTGGATTTAAATGGTTCTTTTTACTATTTGTTTAAATACAATTGGAAGAACAATATATACTTTTTTTATCTAAAAGATCTCATGTCCGGGAAAACTGCAACCTTATATTTCATAAACATGTATCTAAATCAACCTGCCTTTATGTCATTCTTAAATTCTTGCAAAATCTTCCTGAGGGTCACAAATGGCCGCACTTCGGACACCCCTAGATCATCCAGAGTCCTTGACTCTTTGTTTTGGAAATACATAATTATAGTTGTTTGGTACCAGAAGTCCACCAGAATTTCTTTATTTTTCTCAGTTTTTTAAGTGAAAAAGCTTCCCAAGAACTTTGAATTGGAAAACAAGCCCACAGTATTACACCAACCCCACCATACTTCACAGAAGAAGTACCTCTTTCCATGCCTCCTTTAAAACACCCACCTGATGCCTTCCTGGCTTGACTGGTCTTAGTGGGAGGGATTGCATTCGAGTCAATGAGTCGATGCAATCAACTGGCTTTCCTTAGATAGAAAACTGAATTAACTTGAGTTTATGATCTGGTGAACTGTGAAGTGCCTTGAGATGACATGTGCTGTGTATTGGCACTATATAAATAATCTGAATTGAATTGATTTCACTTCCTAAATACACATATGTTGTTAAGTTTTCAACAGAAAAATGGAGCAGCAACAATAAATACTTGTATGGCTTGATCTAGAAATCAAGTCATATAAGTATTTTTTATGACTCTGATACCGATTATTTTAAAATCAGTCTAACTTCTCCTTAATATGTATAGTCGAATGTTTTAAGCCTTTTCTTCCTTTGTTCACTTGATACAAATTATAATAAATGTTAAAAAGAGACATTTATTTAAAATAAAGTTAAAGAAAACATCAACAATGGATAGAAATGGATAGAGCAGCAAATCATGTGCTACACATTATCTCAAGGCATGGTTAGTGGATGCAATAATGAATTAGCCAACTCATGCATGTATTGAAATATAAATCCTTTATCATCCCAGAATGGGGAAATTCACTCTCTGCATTTAACCCACCCCCTTTGAGGAGCAGTAGGCTGCCACTGTGCGGCGCCCAGGGAACGCCGCACAGTGTGGAACTTGAACTCAGAACCTCAGGGACCCAAGCCCAATGCTCTAACCACTAGGTCACCACTCCCCATCGGCTAATGCTAATATATAAACAAACCCTAATACCGGCCAAAAATATCAGCTAGCCGATGATTCGGTCTATCTATCATTAGCTAATTCTAGTCATGTATAAACGAGGTGTCAAGTAAAGAAGTACAAATACCTTGTTACTGTACTTAAGTACAATTTTTAGGTATCTATACTTTACTCCATTACATATTTTTCTTCATACTTCTGACTTCTACTCATTACATTTTCACACAAGTATCTATACTTTCTATTCCTTGCATATTTAAAACAAACGTTACTCGTTATTCTTGGCTTCGATTTAATGTTTATAAATATTTATTTCACATCATGTGCGCCATCCAATGCAGATCATTGGCTCCATCCACATCTAGTGAAAACTAGTATAACTGGATGAGTCATATAACGCAAACACTCATTGGTTAGCTAAAGAAATCATCAGAAGCAAGCAGGTGTTCTTCAAACTGCAAACACGAATTCTCTCTGCCATGCTACAATGTAGGATTCAGAAAAAGATGTTAAAATGTCTGAAAGGTCGGACACAGGCGAGAACGTATCGGGAGACAGAGACCAACAAGACCTCCCTCCTCTTTGGCCCAATCTCAAAGAATTTTTCGAAATAGTCAGAAAATCATGTTTTAATTCATATTGTGGCATCTGGCTGTTTTTTTAAAGGTTACTTTATCCTTTTATAGTTTAAGTAGTTTTTGGAGCACATACTTTTTCACTTTTACTTGAGTAAAGAGGTCAAGTTGATACTTTAACTTTTACCAAAGTGTTTTTTAAACTGCAGTATCTATAATTCTACTTAAGTAAAACATTTGTGTACTTTGACACCACTGTGAGTTAGAGAGACAGCAGGTGTGACTAATTCTGAAGCGGTAAGATGTGAAGGAAAAAACATGCTCGGCAACAATATGGAAGCTGTTAAATACATTAATAAAAGCCTTCTTAGTTCATTTAATTTACTTTATTTAGATCAAACAGACCCTACAGTAATATCACAGTTCATAAAAAGACATCTGACCATGATGACATATGAACATGATAACATGACGTTTCACATTGTTGACATAGATTTGTATTTACCCTAAAATATGTTTATAAAATACACATCAAAAAAGGAACATTTGAATAAAGCAGTCTCTGATAACTCTTACAGAAAAATCATGAATTTCACATGTACATATACAAGCACATACAGGACAATGCCTTAAATGGGAATTGCATTGGAAAACATAGTAAATAACTAAGTGAGTAATGTTTATTTATGTGGCACCTTTCACAGACATAGAGGCCACAAAGGGCTTCACAAAATTACAGCACAAATAAAAATACATTTACAGTCACAAAAGAAATGGTCATAAAAAAAATCTTAATCTACTAGAATTAAAATGCTTTCTTAAACAATTAGGTTTTCAGTTCACTCTTAAAAACATCAACAGAATCAAGTAAATGCAAGGAAAGCAGGAGATCGTTCCAGAGCGCCGGCGCGACCGCCTGAAAGAAGCGATCTCTCCTGGTCCTGTAACGAGTACGAGGGAGCATGAGCAGGTTCTGGTCCTGAGACCTCAGCCTCCTAGAGGGGGAATAAGGACGCAACAGGTCTGTAATGTAGGAAGGAGCCTGACCGTGAAAGGCCCTGAAGGTCAGCATCAGGATTTTAAACTGGAACCGAAACCAACAGAAACAGGAAGGAACAGAAAATATGAATCATGTGCTTTTAACGTGAAACTTTCAAATCATAGAAATATAAATATGTGGTTTTATAAGTGATTCACATAAGGTACAGGTGTGAATTTGAGTAGTACATGGATTTTAACATTTGATTTTCACGTGTGAAATCCAGGGCATTTTTCTGTAAGGGAACAGATTCAAATCTTTGTCTCTGTTTTACTTTGATTGTATTTCCTCCTTTATGAATATTTCATACTTCTATTTCAAATTGTTACAAATAATTACCTTAAAGATGGAGGATGCACTAAAAATGTGTTCCTCCAGTGTACATTTTTAGTTGGCTAAATCCACTATAAACTTAGTTGAAAAAAAATAAATAAAGGGCTGTTCCTAACTGAAATTAACTGACTAAACATCTTCCTTTGTAAAATGTAAAGTCAAAAGTTAAATTTAAATACGCTGTTAAAATAACGGTGGAATTGAGCAACTTTCACATCTTAAACAGCTGAAGATGTTGTGATGACGTCTGATGGTCGTTACCTGATGAATCCAAGCTGGCGCCAGCAGCGGTCCTCTAACATGTTCTGAGTTTTCATCCAGCATCCTTTAACACCGTCCTAATTGGTCTAAACATTTTAATCCTTACTGTAGAATGGAGAATAACACGTCTGCCTCTTTTTACCAGAATGTGTTTTGGATTTCAAAGATCTACTGGAAGAAATGAGCCTTTTTTGTCATATTTCAATCCTCAGGAAAAAGAAAGTTGTGGAGGACGAATAAGAAGTTCCCTGAGGCACCAGTTTTTGTTCCACCAATGAGCTTTTTAAAACATATTTTTTAGATGTTGGTATATTTTCCCCACTCTAAATAAATGAAAAAGCTGCATTTTCTGTTTTATTTGAAGGATTTACGCATTTTTACCCAAGAGAGCCTACAAATGTGTGGAGCTCTTTTAATATTTTAACAGTAATAAGTGGCTGGGAGATTAAATAAAGTCATGTATGGGTTTTAAAATGGATTCATTCATTTTTATTTACATTTAAATGTCTAATCTGAGGTTCATTTATTTTGTTTAGTGAATATTGCAAAGATTATATAAAAATAAGTAAAACTTTTATAGATTAGGTGTAGTTGCACTTTATTTAGGCTGGTAAATAAAATTATCTGCTAATGGATAAGTATGTTTTTCCTTAAATAAAGATTATTAGAAATGATGCAAAACAAGATATTTAAGTTGTTTTTTTTCTTATTTTAAAACTACATCATCTTATTCCCTTTGTCAAATGTCTTACTAACCTGTTCCATGGAAGAGGAAATATTATTATTTAAAGGAAAAAAAAATTGTTGGTTTTATTTTATTCTTGTTTTGTGAAAGCTTTATTCTCACATTAGAGGAGTTAAGTTCCCCCCTAAAATAAAGAAGATCCTCATCAAGGTTTCCACCTACAGCTGTGGGTTACCATCTACCTCTGGACTTGTTCCTTGCAGATACCAAACGCGTTGTCCCCTTGTTCCTGTTTCTCTTTGTCCGCTCCTCCTCCAGGCAATCTGGAGAAACAGCTGAGAGTTGACTGAGATTTATCTAAATGTGCTCCCGCCTGTGCCCCTACCTGCCCGCCAGCCCGTTTGCCCGCCCGTCTCCCCCGCCGGCCTGTCTGGATATTGGATTTGCTCTTTGACTGTGACCTTATACGCAACGAGCCACAGGATCTAGTGTGACTGCTTGGACCCTCTGTCCTGTCGTGCAGAGTCATGTCTTGCTGCCATCCTCCCCCCCCACCGCCACCATGTGCACTTATTGGATTCTCCCTCCTCTCTTGCTCTCTGATAAGGGCATCTGTCAAGCGGATGAACAATCAGAGCTAAAAAGGTGTGTGATGAACGCTTGGAAGGAGCTTACTTCCTGCAGAGAGGTAGAAGGACTGAGGGGGAGGAAGAAGAGGGGAAAACAAGCAGGACTTTTGGGTGAGGATTACCACGACCGCTGCTGCTGCCCACATCCAGGCTGAAAACACATCTGAGGACGATGGCTTCCGCTCAGCTACGCGTATTCTCAAGCAATAACATCGACATCTGTATTATCAACCCAAGAATACCCGTGGTCGAGACGGGAGCAAGCGGTCACTCCCCTCCACCTTCTCTCCTGCTTCCCATCCCCCTCGTCCTCCGCTCGACGGCTTGCAGCAGGAGAGAGCTGGAGGGGAAGGGTGGGGATTTCAGGAGCTGCTCAAACCGCCCAGGTTCTGTATGAAGAAAGCAGAGAAAAAACAAATCATGTGGGACTGAGTCATCACTTAATTAGGCCTGAAGGTATTGTTGTTCAGATTGAATGTTAATAAAAAAAAAAGGAATAAAATAAAAAAGACATAAAATTTCCAAAACAGGTGCATTTTGTGTCCACAGTGAGGGAATTGTGATTCTGGTGAGAGCCCCTCCCTATGCAACATTGAAGAACTAGAATAAAATATAAGAAAAGATTACATTCTTCATAAAAATCTGTGTTTTATTTTAAAGAATATTGTTAAATTATCTAATTCCAGGTAGATTACAGGAACACAATTTTTTTTTGTTATCCTGTAGCCTGGGCCACCCTTTGTGATGAGCTGTCTTGGACACACTGGAATTAAATAAGCCATCATTAAAGTCATTATAAAATAATATTCTTAACATATTTACCTTGAAAAAATTATCTGAAAACGAGTAAAATTATTAGAAACCCGTGTATTTGTCCTCAGCTTAAGCAGCAAAATAATATCTGTCAATGGATTTATTATTTTTACCCTCAATATAAGAGAACCAGATATTATGCACTTCAATTAAAGTAATGGAGATGTTTTTTTCTTGTTTTAAATTGGCAAAATTAAACAAGAGTGAAAGGCACTTTTTCAAGAAAAATAGACTTATACTTCTTTTTTTTTTGCAGTATAGTAATCTAAAGATGTCTTGAGATACAAACGTGGAAAAGGATTCAGCAGCAAAGAGTGATTTTTATTTTATTCTAGCTGTTGGTCAGTTTTAGATATGTATGAAATAAAATCTGAGGGGCCCCAGAGGTGTAGGAAAGTTAAAAGGAAAAGAGGTTTTACATAAAGGGTTTAGGCCTGTCGTTGTTTCGTTTATGAAGGGAAGAAGAGAGCAATACTTTCAGCAGATAACAGGCAGGCTTAGTGTTCTGAGAGAATATTTTTTTTTTTTTTTGCTCACCTTAAAGTCAGAGGACCCCCAGAGATGTAGGAAACTAGTTTTATAAGAACTGTATTTTCAACAACAAATCGAAGTATGTGAGAGAGCAACACTTTCATTAGATAACAGGAAGGCTTTAGGTGTTAAAGGAATTATTTTAGTTTTCGACCTTTTCTTGTGAAGGAAAACACTGGATTTGTAAATGTTGGTACCATTTCTTAAATGTCACAGTGAAAGGTAAGAATTCTCCTTCTTTACAGTATAAACACAGAAAACACTGCTTTAATTAAGCTAATGTCTACATGCTAAATACAGTTGGAATTTTAACTTCATACTTTGTCTTTTTCCTTATACATTCTCGCTTCATATCACAGTACATAAAGGGAAATTTGAATCAGATCAAATCGGTTTTGGGAGCTTTACAGAAACAAGTGACTGGAAGTCCATCACAAAGCTTCAATAAGGGCAGTTCTGGTGTAGATTCCTGCAATTTCTGTCCACTGGCTCTTTTCTCCTGCAACACAGACTGGATCCGCAGTCAGCAGAAGGCTTGCAACAAACGCGCAAGACAGAGAGGATTCTTGGGGGATGGGGTGATGGACTGTCGTGCTCGCACAAATAGTCATTTTGTCACCGCACGCCAGGTTGCAATAAAGTTAGTTTTCTCTTTTCTTCTCTCTTTTTTTCTGTTGCTCAGTGCTTACAACCACTGGCTGAGTGTGGGTGTGGAAGATGGGAGCTTTTGCCGCCCCTGCCACCCATGCTTATCTGCGTGTGCCACAGTTGCAGTTATACAACCGATGGGGGGGTTGCGGGGTGGTGCAGGTACCCCCAAAGTGCTGCGGAGAAGCGAAGGCTTTGAATGAGGCAGAAAAGGAGAAAAGAGGAGGATATGAAAGAAAGTGGAGAAAAGGGAACAAAGCAAGGAGGGAGAGGAAATACGGGAAATGTCAAGGTACTAAAGAAGAGGAGGGGGGAGATGAGAGAGAGGAAATGGATAGTAAGTGTGTGTGTGTGTGTGTGTGGGAGGGGGGGTATCAGCTAGGTTCGGACTGTCATTCAGCGACATGATTGGCTGTGTCAGGGAGAGATAAGCAGCCCTCACATCCCTCGCATCTTCAAGGCTCCCAGAATCAAACGGTTGGAGAACACCGCCGGCACCCTCGTCTGCACTGAAAAGAGACTACATGAAAGGAGTGATTCCTGCTATTATTCTAAACACTTCTGCATGTGAAATACCACACTTTTTCAAAGGCTGTTTGGTGGAGAATGATGGGGGTGCAGGTAGTAGAAGGAGATGGAAAAGTCCCGAAGAGGCGCTAGGGAGGGTTTAGGGTTCTTCGTGGAGGTTGCATCCTGCTAGAGCATGGATGAGGATCTCAAATCCCCATGTCTTTACAACCCCCCCCCCCCTCCAAAAACACACACACATATGCTCTAAGCTTTCACATTAGATGGCATTAAGGTAGGGGGCGAGATGGAGCGAGGAAGAGCAACTCCCAATTCATCCTTGGTCCCTACAGGATCCTACATCTTCTAGCTCTTAACCGTCCCAAAGGTCCCCACAGACCCTACTGACCACTTCCCATGCGTCAAAATAATCCTTTAGCCATTACTATAAGCCCCAACACTCTGTATAGATCTGCAGGATTAAAATAGGTAGGTATTATAAGGTATTACTTGGAATTAGTTGAGCTTAAACCCTCCCATCTGATGACAGCCTGGCAAAAGCATGAATGCTGTTGATACTAGAAGCGATGAGACTCGGAGGATGATGTAAAGACTTGGATCAAAGATCCTTTAAAAGGCCCCTTAGCCAGGCCCAACATATTGAGGATTGATCGAGCAGATCTGAGTGTGCGTCAGGATGAGAGCAAGTGTGTTTCAACGCCGAGACCCGTTGAGGATATAGAGAGAAAAAAATATCACACATGCCAGGCCTTCGTCTTAGATTCAGACAGACTGTCTGCATGCACAGGATGCGTTGGGAAGGCAGGCATCACCAGCAATCTCTGCTGTGCTCCCAAACAGCTCCCAGCCAAGCACCGCATCAATTATTCAGCATATTTATCTATGCAATTTGACGGCCTCTCCCCTCCGAAGCTCAGAACAAATTGCGGAAGCGGCTAATATTGCCCGAGGCTCTGTGGTTAGAATCACTGCGCCTGCGGACCCAAGAGGCCGAGTACAAGAGGCTGTAAACAATCACTTGACACTCACCACTTTATATGTATCTTCTTTTTCCCTGATTTGTGGATTTAAATGGAAGCTGTGAGCTCACACAGACAGACATACACACACACAGCCGCTCAGGGGCGTTTATTGTGAGAGACCTGTGGAGCTTTTTATGGCATATCTAAATAAGCATCCCTTCCCCCCATTCATATACATGTACACACATGCAGAAACACACATACACACACCTCTCCTCGTTTCTTCCCTCCAAACTGTCATTTAGCATGACACACACAGAGGAGCCAGGGTAGCCAATTATCAAACAGATGTCAATGTATGCCTTACAATACTAAGGGGAGCCCAATTACCACACAGATGTTTTGTTTTCCTTATTTTTTCCACCCAACATCCTCCCTGTTTCTATGCTGTCTAAGGATGCCCCACCACCCTCCAAATTGCACGCACCCCCCCCCCCCCCCACACACACACACACACACTCCACATTAATGAAGAAGCTTTCCCCAGTGTTGTACTCAAGACCACACCAACCAAGACCAAGGAGTACAGAGACCGAGACAAGGCCAAAACCTTTAAAGGCCGAGACCAAGACCTTATACTGCCTCGGCCTCGGTCTGGGTTGGGGTCTTTGTCTCTAAATGTCTTGGTCTTGGCCTCTAAAGTTCTTGGCCTTGTACTCCTCAGTACTCCTTGATCTTGGTCGGTGTGGTCTTGACTATAACACTAGCAGTTGCTTATTCCTTCTTGATCCAAAAAGAAGTTGGCCTCAAACCAATAAAGATCCAACAACAAACTCTTCATTGCCACTCAAACAGAGCCAGGTTCTGCTTTGAGGCTGTTAATCTTTTACATTCAGTGGAAACGCTACATGTTTTTTGTCAAGTAACATGATGTATTCTCTGGATGGTCGGAAGTTGAACTTTCAAGGTTCCTAGATAACTTACAGTTCATATTTTAGTAGGGAAGCTTTATTCTGCATCATCAAATAAGTTGAGTTTAGAAGTAATCTATCGGTTATGACCTATTTTTAAATGTAAACTTACAGCCTGCAAAATATCTGGGAGTTTTATGCAAAAACATTCTAATAAGTCTCAAAACAATCGCATCATAAAAATTAAAAGAAACCAATGATCTTTTGGCATAGGAAAAATTTGGAGGCTGTCTGCCAGCAATAATCGTCCTGATTAACTTTTTTCCTTTTATTTCGAGTGTTTTTAATTTTTTATTCCAGTTTTTTTGCTGTAGTTGCTTAATAGGTTTTAGTAGTGTAATAATAATTTTAACAATATTTGTTTTGTGATATATAATCTAACCATTAATTTTGTTAAATGTAATTCTTTGCATCGCCTCTATGCCACTGCTGTGTACTTTTCCTTTTCTTCTTATGTACAGCGCATTGAATTATTTTGCCACTGATGTGCTGTATAAATAAACTTGCCTTACCTTGCCTTGCCTAACTGATTGTTAGGGTTTGTCCAGTCTGCTACTAGACGTTTTTGTCAAGTGGGTGTGTCTGTTCATAGCTGTAAGGGGGAAGTTTCTTACTGGGCTTTTTAAAAAAAAACAGTACATTTCTAGTATCAATTCCCAGTTAATCGTGCAAAAATTACCAGCAGGAGTTTGATTACTGTTATGACGTTTAAATCCGAGGCCATCATCTGGTATATTTTACAGCAGAAAACAAGATATTAAAATAAAGTGATCATTCATACACTTTAAATCAGAATATGTCCTGTGAGGGTTGTTCGTTTGATTAATTGTATATTTCTAATATAACAACCTTTAAGCATTTATATGTCTACCAAAACTATTTTATGAAAAATTATCTAAACTATTATGTGTGAGTTTTATCTCCCGATTTTCATCAATAACATTCTTTTAATGTCTATTTTGGTTTTGGGCCAAATTAAAGATCCTAACTCATTAAGGCAAATGATTAGAGTCCTTCTGCTGTTAGATATTAACCAGTAGAGTCACTTAACCACATCTCATTACAAAACACTTTGTATTAGAAAAGGGAAAAAAACAGATATTATCCCCTAGGCAGGAGTGACATAAATGATCCACAATAAACGTCAGAACAACCAGATATTACAAAAAGGTAGAAAAAGGCAAACGGACAACATGACCAGCAGACCAGTGAGCGTGGGTGTGATCATTGTTCTAATTCCCTTGTCTTCAGCCACCATCTTTGTATCTACGACTGCTGTGGCCTATCCACTTTGATGCTTGAATATGAAAATGAGCCTTTAAGCAGATATATTCCATCATCATAAGGGGATTATCTAAATTTCAGTTGCTTTTTTCACAGTAAAATCTAAAGTGACACTACAAGGCGAGTGGACCCACCGCATTGTTTGCCTGAGCTGCATGGAGAGGAAACAAGAACAATAAAAGGTTCATAGATTAGCTTTGGAGGAAACCTCTAAGCTGTTTTTGAAACAGAAGAAGTTCTGCTTGGTCTTGGCCTCGTATGGACCTGCTTCAGCCTCATGAAGCATCAATTCAGAATTTAAATTGAGAGAAGAAACAAAAAGAGTCATTAACTGAACTTTTCAGCTTCACCTTTAAGGTTGGTCAGGACCCTTTATTTATTTCTTATTAAAGCATGGCTTGATTATTATATAGCAACCATCTCTTAGCCAATGTCCTACGTCTTGAAGGGGACTTTCTTTCAGCTTTTCACTTTTTGACCACCATTCCACGTTTACACAAAAGGCAACATCACCTTTTTCGTTGTCTATTCAATGAAAATTTGCTCAGGGGGATGGGTATGTCAGTCAACAGGGTGAAGGGGTGTGGGGGGGTGCATGTGCGTCTGTTAGTGGCGGGTGGAGTGTAGCAGCAGAAGCCAGGGGAGGATGAGAAGGAGGAGGCCACGGATCAGGACCAAGGACAGCTCCCGGTGGACATTTATGCCCGTTACTAAATGGAAGTCTCTCCCTGTTCTTACACAAACACACACACACTCATTCTTTGCGCTAACACACTCATTTTTAGTGAGCGTACAAAAAAAAAAAACTGGCAGCAATCAAATGCATCCAACCACACACATACACAGAAGCATGATTCTTGTCCTGGCTCTAACAACAATTTAGTAATCAGCTATTAGCTCAGTCCCATTTCCTCTCTTCATCCATCTCTACTAATGGATTCCCAAGGCTTTCGACCAATCTTTGTGTATTTCCTCCTTTCTCCTCCCCTCCCTCCCTTCGCTCCTCTTTCTAGGCGGAGAGAAGAGAGCCTAAAAGAGGGAGAAAGCCCACATAAAAACGAGGAGATAGAGAACTTTACGTCTCCCTCTCTCTCTCTTTGCTGCTGCTGCTTGATCAATAGGAATTTAATGGACAAGGTTTGAGTTCAGGGAGTTCATGCTTGCCAACGTGCCTGAGGGGCTTGAGCACATGCACACTGCGAAGCAGGCAGGGAGGCTCATGTACGCACACATACATAGAGACACACACAAACACAACACACTCATTCAATTTAATGTTCTTTCCCCCATGGCACACACACACACACACACATACACAAACACGGCGGTGCACCCATGCTGCCAAATGCTCTCACACAAAACACAAGCTGTGAAAAAAAAAAAGCTACCAGCTGAATTGCAAATGCTGTAAAGTCAATGGATTATAAGATCCAGGCTGAGTTTGCGCTGATACAGACTGAAACCGTGATGTACTGATTATTGAATTACACAGAAAGAGCGAGCGAGAGAGAGAGAGAGAGAGAGGGAAAGAGAGAGAGAGAAAGACACTGGCGTAAGGGTGGGGTTGGAAGGGGGTCTGGATGCAACAGAAAGCTTGAATATTTCATTGATGTGAGGCTAAAAAAGCAATCAATTGAAGAGGACATAACATTCAAATCCCTCCCCCCTCCCACACAACCCAAGTATCTGCTTAAAAAACACGTCCAGTTCAAGATCTGTATATATTTCTGCACAAAAGTGTTGAAACTTCTGCTACCAACATGAAAGAGAATGCCAAAGGAAGGCTGGAGAGCCTGAGTGGACATCCACAAACACCCAGGACTGGTGTTTTATCAATGTTTGATAAAAAAAACCTCTAGGGGAAACTCTACACTGACAAAACAACATGTTTAAACTAGCACAACTATTCGCATCCATTTTTTATTAGGTGAAAGTTTCATCGAAACAAATCTGAAATCATATTTAAGTTATAAATAATAACTGATGGCTGACATGCAAAGCATTGCATTGGAATAGTAATTAACTTTTTCAATCTACTCTAAAGTCGAACAAGCGAGCTGAGCATCACGAACGACACATCTTAGCTGCAGTTGTCAGGGAAACGCTTAACATGCCTCCTTGTTGGAATCTATTTAAAAAACCCACTAATACACCAATATTTTATGCCTTTTTAAAAAAACAACAACATAAAAAAACATTTTGTTTCTTTCAAACAGATGAAAAAAACAAGAGATAAGATAATAATATGTATTAATGAGTTGAAATTACTGTAATTTGTTAAGTAATTGTTGAAAAAAGATGATTAGTATTCCTCCTTATTTTAGATATGAAATTCATACCATTCCTACCTAAACATGTTGATTTATAACTACTTAAATAAATTTCATGCAGATTTTTGCAGCAATCCTTTAATGGGTTAAATTCTAACGATTTTATCAACAAATCCGTATAAAAATCAACTTGCCGTGCACAGTTAGAAACAAAACATATTCTTCCCTTGAATGAAAAATGTCCAGATTGGAGTCATTTTACGCATCAATTATTTCCAATGAATTGAAATACTTTAAAAAATGACTAATATTCAATACCCTCCAAAATTCCTTTTTATAGTGTAATGCATTCAATCATTTCTTTTTGTTATGATTATTATTATAAATTGAGAATCCGTCAATTGAAAGTGAAAGTAGAAAGTCACTCCCATCTGCAGCAGAGCGCGCAAGCCGCAGCAAACGTTTAAGCAACAAGCGTTCAACCCTTTCCCCCCGACAGAAGTCTTGCATGGAGGTGGATTGGGGTGGGGGAGGGAGGGGAGGGGAGGAGGTGAGGGGGGGGGGGGGGATGCTCAGGAACAAGTTGGGAAATAGTACGGGAGGGAAAAATAATGAATGGATGGATAAAGAGAATGGAGAGGATGGTTAAAAAAAAGGAAAGCTTTTGCCATGACACCGGTCATCTGACTCCACTCTGGCGCTGCTTCCCTCCTTCCAGCCTCTCTGTGTGGCTCTTTACCAGCGATGATCCTGCATCTGAATAGAACCATCCCCCGTGACAGGACTGACAGCTCTCCGCTGTGCGCCACGCTGGAGCCATATTGGCCCCACGTTTGTGCCTGTGGATTAATTTTGTTCCATAGCAGTCAAGTCAAACGGACTGCGGTCAGCTCGGCTGCAGAAGCATCATCATCATCAACAGCAGCAGCAGCAGCAGCATCTTCATCTCTGGACTGATCCCATACTCACCCCAGTGTTGGTGGAAGTCTGTCAGTTCCTCTCCGCGCAACTCAAGTCGACGGCTGCGTGTTGGCAATATCTGGAAATCACACCAAACAGAGAAAAAGAGAGAAAGAGAGAGAGAAAGAGGGGAAACGCCCCCCTCTCTAACTCTCCTCTTTTTTTTTTTTTTTTTGCTTTCCATCCTCCAAAAGAGAAAAGACAAGAAAACGAGTCTTCTCTCCTCCCCTGTGCTTAAAAAGAAAGTGAAGGGATAACAATAGGAATACTAAGAGAAATAAAAAAGAAAAGAAAATCCGAGAGATGGATCTACTCGCCACCCTTTATCCTCCCTTTAGATCCTGGAATCTCTGCTTCTGCGCTCACCTCTCCCCCTTCTTTCTCTTTCTCTCTCTCTCTCTCTCTTCTCTGTCCTCCCATTGTTGCGAATCAAGCGTGGTCAAAGGGGCGCGGCGGCGGCACGGAGGAGAAATGGATGAAGCCTCCCTCCCCTCACACTCGGCACGGTGGAGGGGATGCGCACTGATCAGGATGTGGAGACAGTTTAGACACTGGCACAGCTTCTGGGCGTTGGTCTGATAAGAATGACAGAAATAAAAGATGCCAAGGTCTAATGTAGACATTCACAACAAATCATTAAAAAACATTCAATAAAATCGGTGTAGGTTTGATTTTCCTTTTTTCTGATAATGTTTTGCATTTGTTGATTTAAGTGATTAAAGACGCAAATAAAATCCCGAAGGGAAACGCAATTAAAGGTGGAAAAGAAGTGTTAAAGGAAGGGAGAAGGAGTTATGGACAGACGTCAGTAAGGATGGAAGTTGAAAGGAAGAAAGGAGGCAGATTGGCAACAAGGACGGCAAGACAGAGAGGAGGAGGAAAGGACAAAAAGAGGGAGAGAAGGAAGGGAGAAAGGCAGCAAGAGTGGAAAGAAGGCATGGGAGGGAAGGAGAGAAGAATGGAAGAAAGAACATAAAGAAGGAATTGAGCTTAGTGATAAGGAAGGAAAAAGAGGTATGATGAAAGAAAATAAAAAAGGAGCGAAGGGAGGGTAAGAAAAAGTAAAGAAGGAAACAAGAAGTTAAAGGTGGGGACTCTAGGAAGGAAGGGCAGAAAGTAGTAAAGAAGGAAGGAAAGTAGGATACAGGATAGAAAGGGAAGAAAAAACATGAAAGATGGAAGAAACACCAAAACATTTAGACAAGAGAGAACACAAAGGATTCTAAAAAATATTTTTCAATACTTATACAGAAGTGCAAAGCAATGAAATCCAACTACAGTCTTGTCTACACTGTAAAGGAAAGCTGCATAATGTAAAAAAAAAAGAATGAATTCATCCCTCGTTCAATTTATTATGCTAAACTCCCAGCTTCTGTATGATGGCACCCATCAGTTTACACAATGGCTGATGGAGTAAGTGGGTCTGGGCTTACAGTGAACTGGGTGTTCTAATACAACCAGCGCTGGCACCTTCAGATGAGTACAGTGGCTGAGGGGTGCAAATGCCGTGCAAATACATGAAGGAAAAATGCTGCTTGTAGAAACCAAAAATTGTCAATAATTCTGGGGATATTTTTACATGAGGCCGTCCTATGTTCTCGTCCCATATGCATGCGCACTTTCAGGCGTATATCTGTAGTGAGCTGCGGTTTCAGACAGTTATTGAAGCTCACCTTTCTCATAGCACTTCTGTTAAAATTGTAGAGCATCGCAAAGCATTGTGGGAGTTGCTGTCACAGTGGCACGCTGTCGCCATAGGCCAGAGGTCACGGATTAGTGGACCGCGGTCCGGGTCCGTACCTACCTGCTGGCTAATCCGGACCCAACCTGATTTAAAACGTTTGTTCGACGACAGTGTTTAATTTTACTTGCACCGTTTCTCCTGTTTGTACGGTAAAGTCCTGCGGAGCGTCCGGGACCAGGCTACACGTGATACCAATTAGCCAATGAGCTGTCCGTCTGGATTGCTGCTGCTGCTACTTTTAGACACAGCAGGCAAACCTGTGGCAAGCCAGGCGATGGGAAAGAAGGAGAAGATGATGAGAAAAAGAGCAGAGGAAGTGTGTAACGCTGGAAAAAGCACGGTGAACTGGTTAAAGAAAAGTGAAATGGCATGCTCGAAGGGGATCCTGCACATTTTGAGTACGTTAGGTTCAACCAGCTGCTGTGAAGCAGGATTCTCCACCATGAACAGAATCAAAAATAAATATGGATCCAGGCTCAAAATGAACACCTTGATATGTGCTTGAGAATGAATTTGTCTCCATTCAAACCAGGTTTAAAGCCTTGCAGGGCAGCATAAAGCCCACTGCTCTCATTAAGCCAGAAAAAAGAAAGAAAAAAATAAACAGTTCAGGTGTTTTATGAAATATATGAATCAGAAAATTGTCTACATACTGTACCAAACTGAACGATTGCGGTACTCTACTTCAAAAAACACTTTAGATTTTAAAATGTTGTTCTATTCCAGTTGAGTTCTATTTTTTTTATGTATTTTTTTATTTAGAAAGTGAAAGTATAACATGAATACATAAACACCTCATTTTATTTCAGTGTTAACTTCTGTTTAAAGTAACAGATAATAATTAAAAATGTCTACGGACCTTTACTGGTTTTTCATTTTCTTTATTCGGACCCCGCTGATTTTTAATTGGTTACCCCTGACCTATGCTGTCACTACCCGACAATGGTGGCTAATAACAAAGACGACACAGGCACCGTGCGGTGGAGGTGGAGTTATGTGATCAATTGGGAGCAAAAAGTAGTGATTATCTCTCCAAATGGTCAGTTAACCGTGTTCATGATAAAGTCCACTATATAGTCCCCGCTCTATATAGTAATTGAGGCATTTTGGGGTTATAGCGGACGTTCGGGCACAGTAAGGATGTATGAGCTATAAGAACAGCAAATTGAAAACAGAGCTTGTGCACGTGTTTAATAGGGGTTCCCTCTCGGGAGCAGGTACAGGGTTGTGCATAAGTCTTTTTTCTAATGTGGAGAAGGTGGGTCTTTTAAAAAATTCGTGAAAATCCTCCAAAATACCCTTCAGATAAGATGCAAACTTGCCTTGGAGGATGGATGTGCTCCAGACCACTAGGGGGAGACAATCCTCAACTAATTAACTTATTGAAAATGCTGATAAACGCAACAGTAAAGAATGCAAATGTTACCTGAAGATTAGATGATGAAAAATCTAATTATTTTCAATATTCGGACTATTTTTTATATTTATGGTGAAAAATAATCGCTCACAAAATAAAACATCAGTCTAGCTATTTTCTGCTAACATCTCCTGTTTAATGCTAATTAAAAAAGGTTTTGTAGACAGAATGAAGGAGCTTTTATAGCAAGAAAAAAACTGTTTATTGCAGATTATATTTACAAATCAAAATGCTGGATTAATATCAAAACACTGTGCGGTACCTAAACACACCAGATCCGACCCTTAACCCACCAGAACTCTAAAGTCTGTTAACGTATCTGTTTATGTTTTTTTTTGTTTTTTTTTTAAATGAAATGTTTTTCTGCTGAATGGAACTTTTATAAATGTATAATTAACACCACTTTAAATGGCGATTCATGTGTTTAACTCTGAATTACAAGCATCTGTTAGAGGGAAAACATCTCAAACCTTGAATGGGAAACAGCTTCAGCATTGAGACTGAAAGATTTTTCAAGGATGGTTTCTTATCATTTAGATTCGGTGTCTCTATAAAGGCTGTTGAAATTGATAAATAAAAAATAAAAAAAACATTTATTTTTTTTTATCTACAGTCTCAATAGGTTGGTTAGCTCTTTTATCAAATTTGATTGGCTGATCAAGCCCTCCATACTCAGCGGCGAGGTTCTGAGATAGAAACACAGAACCAGAAAAAAGGCTTAACTTTTACAGACGACCAAGTGTGATCAGCCCAATTAATATTTTAGTTTGTCTAATTTCTGCATGAGATTCCTACAACATTTTTGGGTGTTTTCTTCAACTCCAAACCTCCAGAATGTTTGGCGTGTCTCTCTATGAACTTCTTTAAGAGCTTTAATTCTCATTTCTAGCTCCCTTCTAAATCCAAAGTGAGGAACTATCCAGGAGACCCAAAGAACCAAACGAGAACCAACATCCTTCCAGTCTAATTAACCTTTTAACTGGAATGACAGCTGCTGTACTGAGATACCTCTTTCAGCCGAGCTGAGAAACGGGAGCCGCATTAATCAAAGACTAAGTCAGCTCTGAGAGTGAGCCAAAATGCTTCTTCTGGACCACAGAATAGGAACTGTCCTCTCTGGCCTGTAGTGGCAGCTCTGGTCTGAGAAGCAAATGGATCAAACTTGACTCTGAAACTTAGAATTTTGTCCTACTCCAAAAATATCCCCTTGAAACTACTGTTGGATATCAGAACCCAGAATTCAAGGCTGTGTGTCTTAATGCAAAGGAAAGGGAACTAATTCATCCTTTAGGGACAAATTGCAATAGATTTAGTAGGATAATAATGATGTTAATTAATATAGCTGGCTGCTATATAATATTTAAGGGTAATATTTAATATCCTTGAGAATTGCTTTCATATTCTAACTGCAGATAGGAAATAGAGCTTCAATAGACTATAGATTCCCAAACATGCAATAGCAAAAATGCATGTATCCTCACTGTTCCTCGTTTGTCATCTGGTTTTAATTCCATTAGGATACAATGCGCACATTAAACAATATCTCTAACTGAGGCTTGGAAATTATTCAAATGTAACCTTCACCAAAGTGTTCAGATGATAAACCTGCTCACCGGGAGACACTCATTAGGCGGTGGCAGGCTGCCTGCATGGAGAGCTCTGCTTTGGAGCCGTTTGCCCCCGAACATGACCACGTTGCACGTCAGGCTAATTAACTTTTCAAAAATTACAGATGGTCTTGCATTTAAATTCTAGCCTGAATGATCGACATTCTCTCTGATTAACTCTGGAGGCTGTTTCCACTGGTTAAAAAGAAAGAAAGAAAAAAAAAAAAGGGAAATGTTAATTTTGGGGCTCCATCTTGCCCTTCCCTCCTTGTTTCACTTTAATTTGTTAAAAATAATCCTTTTCTTCAAAAGCACACGATGGGATTTGCTGCTGCGCAGGTGAAGGTCTTTTTATACTCTCCATTTTCTATGTTTGTTGGAGGCAAAATAATAAATTCCACAAATTTCATCCAGTTTTTGTGAGTCAAGAACTACTTAATTGTGTTATTCTAGTTAAATGGCCTTGAAATATTCATGCCCCATAAATTTTGTCCCGCAGCAAACACTAAGTATAATGCATTTTAGACAGAGAGAGTAAAAAGCAACAAATTACAGTGAAGTGGAAGAAAAAGTATAAGTAGGTTTTAAAACATTCGCTATGCATGAGTATTTAAGCGATTCCCAATAGAACTTACA